TTTTTTTTCTGTGGGGGGGGGAGCATCAGCCCGGTTCCTATTCCCCCGGCAAGTCAGAAAAATATTACATCATGAAACACACTCACGCTTCCTTCCATATGGCTGAAGGACCCCTGACCAGCATTGATTGCTCCCTTGATGGAGGATTGACTGTCAGCTTGCCCTAACAACTTGCTCCTCTCAGGTTCCCCTCTTGGGCCTGTCAAAAAGATCTATTCAAAACGAGAGAAAGTGGTAGGATCTGCCTCCAGTCGCTAATCTGAATCTCCTTCCTTTCCAAAGTTCCCGCCTGATATCCTTGTTGCTCGGCATAGGAGGCTGTTGTCTGTATCGGGACTACTCCATTGATTGCAAGGTAACTTGGTTTCTCCTATCACCTTGTGAGTTGTGCCAGTCCTTCCACTGGACATAGGAGATCTCTATCTCTGCAACTTTCCTTCAATCAGCCAGATCTTAGTAAAACTCAACTGTTCTGTGCTCTGTTACTCGTCCTCGTCTGGTAGTGAGAGTCTTGGCTTATCCATCCGTATCCAAAAGCCATCCTGACCCCGGTCCTAAATTTCTCGACCCTCTCTGAGAATTCCTTAAACCCCTAATCCCTAAACCCTCCATTACTATCCTGCTCTATGGGACCCTTACTTTCGTCTTATTCCCCCCTCTTGGATGTCTGATCATGGGATGGCTTGTCCATCCGCAGTTATCTGCTGTTGGTGAATCCTTCCTGGGGTTGTGTTGTGCCACTCTTTCCAGCAGATGCAGTCTTCTCGTAACTCTGCAATCTTGCCGTTTATCAACCAGTTCTCGTTGAAGGTCCTTCTGACCTTCTTTCGTTGTTCCTCGTCCTCCGTCCATGACTGCTTGGTCTTCCTCCATCTGCAGAGGATTTCGGCTTGTATCATCGTTTTCGTCTCCACCCAAACTTTCTCGCACGGGTTGGACAGTCCTTCAATCATTCTGCTGCATCTTCCATATGACCCATAATGTAACCTTTCCGATGAGTCCAAACCATATTTTTTCCGCCTTCCGGAGCTGTTGAGGGATGTTAGTCAAGAGGAGAAGTTGGATGGGATGTTCGGGGAAGGGGGTTGGGAATAGGGAGTTCCAGAGTGCCGATGCTCTTGCCCAGTAGTCTGTCGCCTCTCTACAATGTACTAGGCAGTGAACTATGTCCTCTACTGTCCCTTCATTACAAACCACCCACAAGTCCGATCTGTTGGGATCTGAACTCTTACGCCTCGTGTGTAGCCATTGGTTCACTGGTAATGCCGCGTAGGCGATTAGCCATTGTAAGCTTCTGATTTTGATTGGCCTGATGAGCTTGAACTTTTTCCATTGGATCTGTGTGAGATTGTCTGCCTCTTGGCCCACTTGATTGTGCCATCTTTTTTTAATGATCGGGTCGGGGTCTTTGGTTTTCAGTGACAGTTTGTATCCTAGTTTAACTGTATACTCTTGAATTGGGGTTTTGGATTTGATGTTCTTAGTCTTGTCCGACATCCATGCCCATTCAGCTGGGTCAAACTCCAGGTTGTGGATTGCTGTGTCTGGTCTAAAGATTGACTTGGGCCAAGAGCCAAGGAACCTTATCTTCCTGAGTAGGAAGGAGTCCAAGACTACCGACTCCACATTGTTATTCAGGATAGTCGTTGTACTGGTAGCAGTTGTGGAGATTGGGAAGGAGAGGAAGGTGGCCTTGGTGTGTGAATCTCGTTGCATGTAGGAAAATTGGAAGGCTCTCGAGGGAATCATTTCTTGTATCTTAAGTCCCCATTCTCCGAGTTTCCACGGGGCGACTTCCGTCAAGATATCTTTCCATTCCTGTGGAATGAGGCTGACAATGTACCGGATATTGGGTCCTCGCTTGTGGCATCCTTTGAGTTGGGAACTAATTTCCTGTTCTGTCTTCCATTCTTTTCTGTCCTCATTCCATATGTGGGCGACTTTCCATGTGTCATTTTTGACCCATGAGAGCTAGGTCTGTTCGACTTGTTAGGGATTATTTTTCTCCAGATTCGAAGAAGCTACGTTCAGTATGGAGTATCAGGCCTATGGCTTTCTGGACTGGCGTCCCTCGTTCGATTCCTTCTGCCCGTGTCTATGGTCCAATCTTTATTCATTACCCAGAACAGTCTTGACATATCCTCTGGTGAGGGCACCGGGGCTAGTGATCTGATACTATCCAAGGCTAGTTTATGCCATGCGCTCTCTGGGTTCGTCAGAAGCCTGATAATCCATTTAATCTGCAGGGCTTTAGTTTATGTTCCGCGGTCTATAATCCCTAGACCTCCCGGGCTCCTCGTGACATAGTGCCATGCGACTTTAGATATGCTGTTCTCTTTGTTGGGGTCTCCTGACCATAGGTATAGCCTGGCTTTCGGTTCAGTTCTTTGATGGAATTATCCAGGATAGTCCAGATGGAGGCTAAGTACCACATCATTGAGAAGACCGAAGTATTAAGGACCAGGGCTCGTCCAATGAGGGACGTGAAGGCATTGCCCCATCTTCCTAATTTGTTGATTTGTTTAGTCAGCATGTTCTGGCCCATTTGGGGTGCTAGCCCTTCTCTTGTCATGAGTACACCAAGGTACCGGGTGGGGGTGTCTGGCGTCTCCCAGATCATAGTTGCTTCCTCTCCTTGTAATAGTAGGGGGTCCTCATCTGATAGCCACCATCCTATTGTCTTCCCCCAATTGATCTTCATTTCTGAGGCCAATCTGAAGGCTTCCATTGCTTTAGCCAAGGTTTTGAACGACGAGTCGGTAGCTCTAATTAAGACAATTAGGTCGTCCGCAAACATGATAGCTGTGGGGAAATCTATTTGGTGAGTTGAGCCTATGTTGGTGCTAGAGAGTCTTTGGATTGATGGGTCCTTGCGTAGGAATGATGTGATAGCTTCCATTACGAACAAGAAGATTGATGGGGCCAATGGATCTCCTTGTCGGACTGAGCGGGAGATCGGGTAGCAGTCCGACAGAAGGCCGCTGACTTGGACACAGCCCGTTGCATCTTTGTATAGTATTTGGCTCCATTTTCTGAA